TTTCAAAATTGCATCATAATCATTTCAATGCCTGTTTTTCTCTGTACTGTAAGCTAGTGAAATGGATGGTTGACTGGTTTGAAAAATGAGTATTATATGAATAAATACTTCAGGATACTTTTTTTGCTTTAGTCAGATGATCCAGATGGTTACAGTACTTTAATCTTGGCCATCTAAATTGTTATTGCCCTTTGCTGGTTGTTGTATGGAGTTGGCAAAAGTTAGGTTCCCTATTGCTACTAACTGTATTCTCAAATCAATTTTTTTTGATTTTAAAGGAAGAAACTTTTCATTTTGAAATAATTAGAGATTCACAGGAAATTGCAAAAAGAGTACAGAGGTCTCATGTACCCTTCACTCATTTTCATCCAATGGTAGTTCTGTCTTTCGTGTCCTTTCTCTTTTCTCTCCCCAGCCTCTTGTATAATTAACAAATATATTAAGGAGGAAAAGGTGTGATTTTTAAAAAAATTTTTCCCAGATAGCATTAATATGTTGGAAGGAAATTACATTACCAAAGTATTAATAATATAAAGTTCTGTTTGTACTTTTTCACTTCTGCTTTATCATATAAGAAATAATTCTTTTTCTAATAGAGAAAACTCATATTATTTTAATTTGGGTTATAATTCCACTCATATTTTGGATGCTGTAAGAATCCAAGAATAGTTAAGACTGTGGTCTGTGTTTAAGTGAATACTGAATCCTTATGGGAACTCTATTCTTGGAGTTAGTGCCGAAGAACCTTGTTAAATGATGTGGTACTTCAGTGCTTTTGTTGTTTAGCTTCTTGGGAGCAGGTCCAAGGCCATTCTGCCTTATACCAACTTCTTTATTCTAGCAAGAGGGACTATAACGCCCTGCCTGGGTTGAATGAACTAGTAAAATCATTTGGTTGTATGTTATGGTATTGTACTATTTTCCGAAATCATTGTTATGCTTTTGTTTTTCACTGTAGATGATCGGCCAAAAGGAACTTTGAAGAAACTGATTCATGCTGCTAAGGTTTGCATTATTATATAAATACAAAGAATATGGAGGAAGAAATAGAACACAGGTTAAACCCATGTGTCCTTAGTAACTATTTAAAAAGTCCATTTTATTATTCCCTTATATGCATATTTAAGAAGTGATCAGAATGTTCTTATCAATTGTTTTTTATTTTAAAAATAACTTTAGAAATTCATATAGTTTTTAGAATTTGTCAAAATAAAAATTTTTAAGTTCTGCATTTTTCAGATAAGGAATTATATAAAATGGTTATATTTTATCTCATACTTCCCTTGATGCTTTCTTTTTCTTGTAGTTTCAATATTTTCTTATCCTTTGTGCCCCACATCCTATTTTGAGAAGTAAATACTAGGTTCATTTTCTTTTGGTTTATTCCTTCTCTTTTCCACCTTAGTAGTGGTATCCTGATCTTGGCTGATCTATGTGAAATCTTAGTAATGTAGTTTGAAGGCTGCTTTAATCAAAACTTGTGTTGAAAGTAGATAGAATGAAAATAGCATCCAGTGAAAAGCATTCACTGCTTTTCTCTGTCGGTTCTGTGATTTACAACTATTAATGACTTCTAAGATGGAAGCTGCGTTATTGGTTTCTGCATTCTAGGTGATAATTTCATCAAAGTGATAAATTAGCTTCAAAAGAGTTGGGTGGCATAGTGAGGGTTTTTTTTTCCCCCCCGTATAATTAATTAATGTTGCTTTTTTCCTCCTTCTATTCTTTAAAGTTAAATGCTTCTTTAAAAACCCTGGAAGGAGAAAGAAACCAAATTTACACTCAGTTATCTGAAGTAGATAAAACAAAGGAAGAACTTACAGGTGGGTAATACTTTTAAAGTTTTTCTAAGTGAATGTATCTCCTTATAGAGAGTGGTACCATTAATTGAATTAATTTGGGGAAGATCCAATTTGATGTTTTTTTTTTTTACTTTTGCTTTTGTTGGCTATTTGTGAAAAATTAGTCCTGATTTGTTGTAGTTGTTGGTAAAGCTGTATCAGTTTCCGTTATATTTATGTGAAATTAAAATTATGAAATTATTTTTGAGAACATGAAACTATTTGAGTTCCAGGTGTATGTTTAATATGGTTTTAGATGTTAAAAACAAGCAAATCAAAACTTATTTTTTTAATCTTTGTTAATTGCAGAGTTGATCTACTTGCAGTGTGGTTTGTTCCTTTAATGTACATACATAGCATATTAGCACATGCAGGAATGATGTCAGACCTATAGAAGTTTTTTTTCTTTTTTTTTTTTTTTTCTCTTCAACCCCTCTCCCTCCTGAAGTTTTTGTTTTTATTGAAAACATTTCTCGGCTGGAAGTGTTGGCTCATGCCTGTTTTCCCAGCGCTTTGGTAGGCCAAGGCAGGAGGATTGCCTGAGGCCAGGACTTCGGCGTTAGCCTGGGTGACATAGTGAGACCCTATCTCTACAAAAAAATTAAAAAACTCTCTGGGCATGGTGGTGCATGCCTGTAGTCACAGCTATTTGGGAGGCTAAGGCAGGCAGATTGATTGAGCCTAGGAGTTTGAGGTTACAGTGAGCTATGATTGTGCCACCGCACTCCAGCCTGGGCAGCAGAGTGAGACCCTGTCTTCAAAAAAAAAAAAAAGAAAGGAAGAAAATATTTCTGTTTATTTTGCTAATAGTGTTTGTATTTCCAAAACAATAAAATCTGTCACTGTGTTTGAAATCTTTTAAAGTTGGGATAAATGACATCTCATTTTGTAAAAAAGTAAACAAATTCACCATATACATTTGCATCAAAAAAGACTGGAAGGGTATATTCAAATGTCAACAATGATTATCTTTGCATATGAGATTATGGGTAGATTTTAATTTTCTTTTTATTTATCTGTATTTTTAAAAACTTCCACAATAAGTGAACCACATTTATAATAAAACATTGTCTTGAAAGGTTGAGCCACTGAAGATGAAGGTTATTAAAAAATTATCATAGTCCTACTCACATGATTTTGGTAATTGGTTAATAATTTTAGTAATTGGATTTTAAAAAACATTAGTATTAACTTAAAAGTTGCTTTATTTAAAGCACAATATCAAAAGTCATGGAGATTCACAGAAGAAAAGATATGAAGCTTGCTTTTAAGAAGCTGTATTTTAGTATATTAACAGATTTTTGGTGAAAAAATGTGTAGAAACTGCCAGAGTAGTAAGGAATTTACTCACCAGTTACCCCATTCCTTAATAGAATTTCTGGGCAAGTCTTTATTTTTTTTCCTATATTTAGAGACCCTATGTGTGCTGCTACTCTTCTTCCAAATCTAACTTTCTTCTTTTTTTAAAAAAAAATACTGTTTTTTGTAGAGATGGGGTCTCGCTATGTTGCCCAGGCTGGTCTTGAACTTCTGGCCTCAAGTGATCCTCCTGCCTTGGCCTCCCAAAGTGTTAGGATAACA